AAAAGGTATCAAAACCTTCAGTCAAACCTTCCGTTCCAGCACGCTCATCAAACTGAGCTTGACCCAGGTCTACAAAAAGAGCTTCACTCAAGCAACCAGTTTCCATGGCTTCTCTAAGAAACCCCCATGCTAACCCTCGCCGAGAAAGGCAAGACGGAACCCTCTCCACCCACCCTATATTTGAGGCGAGCGCGGAAACATATATTTTTTATGTTTCCCAAAATTCAGAAGGTTTTGTTTCATGAGATTTTCTCCAAACAAAACAGGAAACTGAAACTGTTGGAACCTTTGTACCTTGTACCTCAGGATTCTTCTGCAAACAGTTTGACAACAAAAAAGGTTTGAGTGCAGGTTCTGTTTGTCGTTTCTGTTTATAGCATCTCGCACTTCAGTCTAATTTTTGTCAAAACAAAAATTTTTCTGTTTGGTTCATATAAAGGGATCATCACTGCTTTGCATTGAGTTCGCCCTGAACTTTATGGCGGATGAGCCTTCCAAATAGGATGTATTTGGCATAGTTACATACCCATGTCGGGGCGTTGCGCATTCGCAGGATATGTAAGATCCAATAGGGATTAACCCGCTCAAAGGCTTTTGATAGATCAACTAGTAGCGCAGACATGGGAGTATTACTGTCAAGTAAGGCTTGTATGGCATGAACTGCGTGCTGCGGTTCTTTAAAGCAATTCATGACTACTTGCGAAGGATGCATATATGCACAAGTTGCTTTCATGACTACAGCAGCAATGGTGCCATCAACAAGCCTGTCACACGTATTGGGCATTCCTAATGGTCTGAAGTAGTCCGCAGTCGGACCTACTTTTGCCTTGGGTATCCAAACCCCTACCTGTACTGGTGCAGCTCGCAGGCCTGCTAGCATTTTCATCATTAGTTGATCTAAGACTGGGTAGCTGTCTTCAGGGGAGAGCCTCCATGCAGAGTAGGGGATTCCATCCGGGCCAGGGGCTGAATCTTTAGTGCCCAGGAGTGTATGGAGAAAGTCCTGTTTCTGGGGGAGTTCAATATTTGGCCATGGCGAGGCAGTTTGGTATTCCCGTAAAATGGGTTCCCATTCTTGAAGAGAGTCTTGAGGCTTAACAAACCAGAAGTTCCGCGTGTCCAGCATGGCTTCGTCCAGCATCTGGGAGGTGGTGCACTGTTCTCCCTGCTGATTGAGGATCGGCCCATTATAGATGACGCCCTTGGGGCAAATAGATCGTAACCGATTCCAAAACGTAATGTTATTGCCAATACCTCTGGCTTGTTGATTCACCTGCTCAAGAGCGGGACATTGCCGAGTCATCGTGATCTGATCTAGAAAATCAAAAATCTGTTTCAACAGATCACTTCGAATAGTTATCTTTCCTGGATATAGCTCACTAACTACGTTAGAAGAAAAGATATGATAAGTGGCAGTCTGAAGTGCATGGAATTGTTTTGCAGGTACGTGTAACACTTCAGCTCGAATTTTAAGGAATTTCCGCAGGAGTTCATGCTCGGGAATGCGAGGATGATCAGATGGAATAGGTTGTTGTCGCCACCAAGACCACAGGGTGGACACAAACTCAACTTCATCTGTTTGGGGTAGTCTTTGAATCCTTCTTATCAGCTCTTGTAGATCGTTGGGGACCATATAGGGGTTAGCCTCGTTCTTTCCAGGGCAAAACACGTCAGTTGGGATGGTTTGATGGATTGGGTCCTTCATGTCATTTTTGACTCTTGGTCGAACTACAAAGGTCGCGGTGAGTTGGTAATGCCCACTTAGGTGATGTCGCCTATTGGCTGCTACAATCACGTCAATTTGGGCCGCAGCTATATAATCAGTGGGACATAGTACTCTATCAAGTGCTGAACTTCCAGTAGGGCTTTCAAAGGTGTGAAGTTGTGGGTGCGTGTCAAGAACTTGCGCGTGGACTAATAATTCATTCCAAAGGTCCGGACAACTGGCATCCACCTGGTTAAAGTCTCCCCCAATATAGAAGGGAAAGTCTACTTTGCTGGTCTTGACCCAGGCGATTAATTCTTTCAGCTCAACGACCTTGGTTTGTGGATGTAGATACACTGACAAGAGTCCGATGGTCGAATATCTGTCTTGGATTACCGCAAGGACAATGCGACCTGGTATGACAACTTCTGTTCGGTCAAGTTTCCACCCAGGTGGAATTAGGGCTGCCGAACCACCCGACACTCCACCTCTTTCTGTTAACAATCCTTGGGTGTGTGCAACTTGAATACCTGGTATATTATGGTGCAAGACCTGATGGGTTTCAGCGTGCCATCTGGTTTCTTGTAGTAGAACCGGGCCTGTGCGTAGCAATCGCTTAATGAGTCGCATTTTGGCATCCCCTGTTCTAGTTGTTAGTGTCCACCCTGATACATTCCACACATGTAATCGTTTGAGCCTAAATGGAAGATCTTGTCTGATAGCTTTTCGGTATTCGAGAATGCCTCTTCCTATTTCTTCTACTGCAAGAGAAGGTAGTGTTCGTGAGTCACACATAAGTTGCTGATAAAAATCATCAACACCCTGATGGAATAGTGCGGCAACATGTTGCAGGGTTAGTTTCCACCATGGTGTTCGGACATGGAGTATATTGGGCAATATTGATAGGTCACGTATCTTTGATAGATATGGCGGGCATTGAGTCCCTGTTTCGTATAGGTAAGTCGTTTTAACACATCGCGTAAGCATCTTGAGCATAGTACGGAGCAGTGGAGCAGGCAGGTTCCGCAGAATCATCATTATTTCCTTGGTGTTGTTTAGCTGTTGCTTGGTAGCTCTTGGGTGGTTCTGACAGTCTTTTACAGTTGCCAGGCTGGAACCTATAAGAGATGTCCAGTTGCTTGGTGGGTTGCCAGACCAAGGAAACCAGGAGATCTATGTGTGGTGGCTTATTATTATGACAGACTCCAGAGCAATCCCAAGACATGAATGATTGCAAATGGGATATTATTATATATTATTATTAAATTAATTAATATGGTTATCATCTTTGATTCATAGGCATTGAACCCCACCCCTTGACTTATATTATTATCAACTTAAACTTAACCCTGCCATTTCCAGCGCGCTGCCAGTCAAGCATTTTTTTGTGCTGTCTCAGGTTTAGGTCAAAAACTAGCTTACTCCGTCGACGAGACTAAGCTAAGCCTAATTTCTAAAGCGCCCGGGCTGCTTGACCCCGTGTCAGTGCGGACTCTTGCCACTGACTTGTCAATGCCACTGACTTTTCAATGCCGACTCTTGACTTAAAAGTCAGCGAAGCTCGCGCAGTGTGGCTTGCCACATCTCGACCAACAGGTCCTTTTTACTGCTGGGCCTGGATGAGTCAGCTCCTCCTGACCCGGGGTCAGGATCGTCCCTGTCGTCTTTGCGCCGCTTTCGCTCAGGGTCGGCTCGGTCAGGTGGCGGTGACCTGGGTTTCTTGCCCTTGCCTTTCTGCTGACCCACAGGCTCAGGGATCTTCACGTTCGTTTCATCGTCTCCTGGCCCTGTTTTGTTCTCTTCCCAGAGCATCTGGCTCCAACGCTTAGCGTCGGCCATGCACTGACCCCAAGCTTTTTTTTCACTTGTGGAATAATAAATCCACGATGCCAAGTGGAACGGAGACCGGCGATGGGAAAAATTTCCCTGCAGGCCCCCGCCCACGTTGCGTCCGCAGACGGTGCACTTGTACGACCCAGTCTTAGGGTCGCCAGGTCCGGAGCGTGGGCAATTGGCAGGCTCTGGGAGTCTTTCTGATCCCTGACTGGTTTTTTTCAAACCAGCAGGGCCCTCAGTCGTCGCTGCCTTAGCAGTAGAGGCAGTGCACTCATTTTCGTCTGAGTCGACTGTCACTGCTTTTGGCACTGTGGACCGTGGTCCGTCCTCGACCTCAGCGTCTTCAGCCCGAGGTGCTTCTTCCTCGGCGGATTCCTCGTCGTCGTCGTCGTCATCAGGCTCGACGACTGGCGCCGACTTGCCCGGAGGCGCCGGCTCTGAGGCCATAGCCTCTGGCCGCTTTTCAGCGCCGCCAGCTGTCGCCGCCGCTTCTGCCGATGCAGGCCTCAGCACGGCCTTGCCCGGAGCCTCGACGCTTCTGCGACGACGGTCCCTTGAACGACTCTTTGTCTCAGTGCGCCGTGCACGACTGCGACCACGACGACTTGAGTCGTCTCCACGGCGGTCAGACCCGCGGTCTGAGTGGCGGTCCTTCTTATGAGACCGATCTTTGTCGTCACCGCGGTCTTTCTTCTGGTTCTTCTCCGCCATCACGACCTGACAGGACGCGAGCGACAATTGTGGTTTTAACTAAAATTAAGTATATTATAAGAGTTTCATATCATTGCCAGGACCATGCAGATCAATTCTCATTTGCTTGAAAATAAGGAGTCCGTAGACTCTAGTCCGTAGACTTTCCCTCGAGTCCGTAGACCCAGTCCGTAGACTTTTTTAAATAAACTCCGTAGAGTTGGACAGTCCGTAGACTTTAGATTGGAGTCCGTAGACTGAGTTGAATGTCGTCCGTAGATTCTTTCAGTCACTTCCAAGTGACAATTGATCCTTGGTCCTGGATTCAATTCTTAATTTATTTAATAGGAAATAAGAAGTGAATTGCTGTTGGGTTTACACTGTGAAGATGGCCCTGCCTTCTGCAGGGCCGCCGCGGCTACACACAGCAGGCTGCGCGGGTCGCAGACGCTAACCATTGAGCCAAACACCTTGGAAAATGACGTGACAAGTTGACTGTCAAAAGTAAGTGCTGGTTCCTGCAACATGTCCTGATGTGCAATTTAATTTTTGAGTCTGAATTGGATTCTTGTTCAACCCTTGCATTTCCATCGCATGATAATTGATTAAACAATGATTCATTATTATTCTCACAGAAGTATGTTTACTGGTTGGGCCGCAGTCCATTTTAATCAACAGAAGTATGTTTATTGGTTGGGCGATGCGTCTTTTTTCTTCTTCTCGTCAGGCTTGGTGGGAAGACTGTACCGGCCGTCTCCTAAAAACCCTTCTACCGCAGCTCTTTCAGTGTGGTTTGCCACATTTGCAGCAGCAAGTTGCTACCGGAGGACCCTGATCCTGTGTCCGGGTCAGGGTCTTGGTGGTCTTTGTCACGGCGGGAACGTTCCGGGTCGCATCTCACTGGAACTGGAGACCTTTGCTTTTTCTTAGGCTTGTTGGGCAATGCGTCATCCTCCGGACCTGTTTGGTTCGTCGCCCAGAGGTGCATGCTCCAGCGTTGCCCTTCCTGGAGACAATTCTTCCAGGGAAGGGTCTCTTTGTTGTTCCAGTAGACATAAGAAGCCAAATGGTGAGCTGACCGGCGATGTTGCCACGAGCCGGCAACTCCACCTCCGACTTTGCGGCCGCAGATGCTGCAGTCATACCGACGAGTCTTGTCGTCGTTCCCACCTTGGTGACGCTTGTCATCACACCAAGCTTGGTGAGATTTGTGTTCCTCATCAGGTTTGTGACCTTGGTCACGCTCAGACGTCTCACCTTGGTGAGGCGGCTGGTCACCTTCGCGACGCGCCACCGCCTCAGCCTTGGCTGGACCTGGACGGGCTGCCTTGGCAGCCTCCCTGGTCGGGGACTCTGGCGCGGCGCGCTTTGCAGGTGGCTGTACGGGTGGGTCCTCAGCAAGAACCGACTCCTCCTCACCTTCTTCGTCGTCGTGCGACGCCTTAGGAGCTGCAGCGTCCGCAGACGGAGCAGGAGGCGGAGCAGTTTCAGCTGGGACTAGGAGAGGCTTGCTGCCGTGAGACTTGTCAGTCTCCCTACGCCGCCCTCTGTCTCGGCTACGGCCTTTCTTTTTTTCCCGTCTGTCACGGCTTCGACCCCGTTTCTCCTCGTCTTTTTGGCGATCACCACGGTCACGGCGGTCGCCACGACGACGAGAACGTTCAGTGGTCATCAGCCTGGCAGCAGTGGGGGAGGACGATTGGGTTTAATATATTTAATAACTGTGTACCGTACATATCATATACATATTATTTTTTTAGGTGGGTTTAGGAAGATTCGCGATTAATATTAATTTATATTTTTTTAAAATTGGGTATGCAACTTTCACCCTCGCCTACTTGGTCTCAGCGGGCTCCTCCGAGCAGCGGGGTCGCAGCCACAGTCTCAGTTAACTTGAGCCAGAGCACCCTGGGCAACCAATAATAAAAATGAAATGTTTCAGTGTGTCACTCAGTGTCAACATCTGAGCGAGACTGCCGTGTCAAATCATGTGAGACACTTGCAAGCACAATTTGACAATGCTTCTTTTTTACACCCCTGCCTTGTTTGAGTTTCACTCAGTGGGTTTGCCGATTGTTCTCCAAAATTGGAGGGCAGCCGTTGGAAAAAAAACAGTCTTTATTATTTATTTAGGTATTTATTATAGGTGTGTCTGACAACAACTGCTGCCATCCAAGGACCAAAACTTTCAGCGGCGACGAACTGACCTGACTTGACTACCTACCACGGAAGTGCGTCCGAACCGTCCTCAGCGTCGTCGTCGTCTCCTGCGTCAGGCGCCGTAGCTTTGTCGTCGTCTTTGGTCTGCTCTTTCTTCCCCTTGGCCTTGGCCTTGGGGCGTTCTTCTTTGGAATTTTCGTTTTTGCGCTTGCTCCCCTTGGTGACCTGCTCTTGCTGCTTTCCTTGGGCCACGGTATCTGAGCGGTAGAAAGTGGAGCCCTCTGTCTGCATCAGAGTGACGACAAAGTTGGTCAGAATCATTTCCACCTGAGTGGAATGTGAGTCAGACAGCGTCAGCCCGAGGTAGCTGACACGCTCGGCCACACAGGCCTTTGCCAACTCTCCCTGAGAAGTGCTGAGGTCCAACCTGAAATGAAATGCGCGAGGAATTCTGATTCAGGATATCATGTGATATAATTCGGGATATCATTTTTAATCGTCAGGCGATTAACGTGAAACATTATTATTTACCCATACATGGGATGATCAATATTTTAGGGTTGATGTGGTTAGATTGCTTCCCAGGCACACAGCTTTCACAGAGTGGGCTTTGAGAAAACTTCTGTAGAAAGAGCAGGGCAACAAAGCTGCACTGAAGACGCTTTCGCTGGAGGCCTCCTTGGCTTTGTTCATAGCGGCGTCAGTCGGCGACACGCACCTGCCTGTGGTGAGCACCTCCTCCTTTTCTTTCCTGCAGGGACAAGGATTCATTATGTCATGCGCTTGGTTCATTATTCATTATTCATTGTGAGAAAAACTCTGCCGGGGTCCTTGTCAGATGCCAAAGGTCCGCTGCCTGCATGGCGGAAATGGTGCCAAAGACATCTCCAAAGTTGTGCCCTGAGAAGTCAGTGTATGGCTTCTCCGGGACCATGGTTGACACTGGAGCTCCGGAGAAGAGACAAGCGGTGGACCTGGAGGTGTAAGCTCCTCGAACCCTTTGCTTGCGGTCCCGAATGGAGGTGTCAGAAAAGATCAGGAGAACGTCTTTCATTTCCGCTTCGATGGCTTGATCCTTTCTGGCCGCAGCCGGTCGGAACAAGGCTTCTGCTTCTTTGCTGGAACGTTCCATGCCACAGTGCACGAAAACCAGTTCACCCTCTGACGGAACCATGCACTCGTCCCCTTTGCGCTGGCCGTTTCTTGCAATCATCGAACCATGCAACAAGATTCTGAGGGCGGACTGGTCGGGAACAAAGCGCTTTCGGAGAAGTGGTCTCTGACCTGGGCCCATGGATTCTCCCAGCGCGTCTAAGTCAAGATGAGTCAGAACGCAGCTGACACCTCCCTCTCCTTGGAAGTCTTTCAAACCACTTTGGCTCACCAAACTGATGATGCCGTCCAAGGTCTTAGGCTGCACATGGAGAGAGCAATAAGTGCGAACAGTTTGGTTGCCAACCGCCTTCCAATATTTCTCAGACCCTTCAGAGTGTTGGCTGGGCGGCTTTCGCACCTCTTGAAGCTCGTCCTCTGCATGGTCCGGGTCTGCAGCGTTTGCGGCTGCCCCTGCAGCCAAAGCTTTTACTTCAACTTCTTCGTCCTTCAAGGTGGCGAGGAACTGGTTCACCTGTTCTTTCACCTGTTCGTGCTCCAGAACTGCCTCTGGAGCTCCCCCGGACCTCGTGGCTTGTCGCAGGCCGTTGTCATACTTCTTGGTGTAAGTCAGGTCCTGCGATGATAGGTGCCAATTAAATTGCTATGTCATGTTTGAAATGATTAAAAAAGCACAGGACCATTGCAAACAAAAGAACCTGTCCTCCAGCAAGTGAAAGCAGTCAATGCCGGACTTCTTAAGCCGCGCCATCCAGGTACAATCTCCGTCGCCTGAATGTTGCCGGTACACCTCATGGGCAGACAGCTTCTCCTTCAGCAAAGCCCTGTCACCCTCTGCCATACCGCTCTTCGGAAGCAGCACTTCGAAGAAGTGGTCCAAGACCTGGCAAAAAACATGGAAACATAATTACAATCGGGAAAATGCAAGAAAAAAGTGCACCATATTCTGTGGACCCGGCCTTCTTTTTCATTTCAAAAAGACCTACGAGACCAGTATGGTGCTTGTCTCCGGAAAGACTGCCCTTGGAAATTTCTCCGATTTGCAAGACGTCGTAGGCCAGGCCATCATGCAAGCTCTCCAGCACCCAGTCTCGCATCTGATTTGTGCTTGGCTTGGTCGAAAGAACGTGAAGCCGACTCATCTGGTGGAAGGGAGAACGCGTCCCGTATAACTGTTCCAGCTCCAGCAAAAGTTCAACTGCCCGCGCTGAGCTGAGAATGCCCTTTTTGACGGCCAGAGCTTGCGTCACCAAGTTGACGGTGATTTTGCCATCGCTGTCGTCCTCCTTGCGGCCGCCCTGCACGGACAGCAGGCCAAGTGTGTGAAGCTCCTGTACCAGCTGCGCCGGCTGCAATTTTGATTTACAGCTGGGCAAACTTTCGCACATAGTCTTGAACTGGTCAATTTCCACAGCAATCTGCATTGCTGTCCTGCTCATGGACTCATGCTCTTGCTTCACCGCTTGTCTCCGATTGAATGCCTCGACCCACACATTGTGGCCTTGCAAAGGGTCCTGTGTCTCCACAAAAGAAGCCGGCACGCTCAGCAACACAGCACGCCACTGTGCTTTCCATTCCTTCCATTGATCCTCGGAGAGCTCATCCTTGCGCCTTGATGGATCCGTGGAAGTTGTGCTTTTTATTGAATGTGATATGGTCTGGATGTGACAAACTAATTTTAAACAAGGTCTTTAAATTCAGACAAGGCACCGAACAGCGTGAGCGCAGGAAGCCACCAGCGAATGCACAATCTCTTCTGGCGACAGCATCTGAAGGTTCTGGGGTTTGGCGCTCAGAGCCGACTTGTCGGCCAGAAGCTCCACCATACGGCCTGTCATGAAAGCTGGTTTTCCGTTCGGGAAGTAAAACTCTCCCATGTCGAGAACTCTCCTCCGGCTCATCGGAATTCCCGGCGTGGGCGACGCCAGGATCTGAACCCAGAACAAGGAAATGCTGCAACGAAAAACTCTATGAATCCCAAGTGCATGCCGAGCCGACTCCAAGTCAAATGGCTCTTGAACCCCAGTCTTGGATCCGTCCAACTCAGACTTGGAGAGCGGCAAAGGCATTTCCTGGTCAATGCCTGGGAACTCCTGCAAAATTGTCTGGAGGTCCGCCTCTACCAGAGCATAGTAGCCAGCATTCGTTGGGTCTGGAGTCGCAGCTGCAGCCGTGGCTGACTGAGTTGCAGCCGACGACGAAGTCTTTTTGCTTGCCTTGGGACCCGTGGATCCAGGCTTGGCAGAAATCGCCGCAGCAGACTTCTTACGCTCTTCGCAGGCCACAGCCTTCTTGGTCTGAAGCTCCTTCTTCACCACCGCTTCTTCCTCTCCTTTCTTAACCCTTTCAGCGAGCTCGTTCATTTCAGCCTTATTCAAGCGCCATGCGGAAATGTTCCGAATCTCAGAGGCTGCTACGGTCATTGCAGTGGCCAGCAACTTGGACAGTGTCTGTCAAGCACTTCCTGTCAGTTCCTACAAAAACACTTTGGGCCGACAGTGGCAAACAATGGGCATGGCTGTCACAGAGGGAATCGAAATGCAGCAGGTGGGACAGGATATGATGTGCAACAGTGATGATAAAATCGTAAATGCCAAAGTTAATAATATGAACCATTATCCTATCATCAATTATATCATGAAGACGAGTGAGTAAGGACACTGGGCGTGCTACCGCTAAACGTCGCGCTGCTTACCCGGGTCTGGCCTGGGCTGGGATCTTGGGTAAGACAAGTGGGCAACGCTCTGTTACGCTCCAACGGGCATGAGTAGAGGAACTGGGGAAATCCCAGTCTCCTTACCCGGGTCTGGCCTGGGCTGGGAGTGGGTAAGGATAGTGGTAAAACTTGCGTGCGTGATGGGGCGGCGATTGTCCCAGTATGCTTAACACATTCCCTACTATCCTTACCCGGGTCTGGCCTGGGCTGGGAGTGGGTAAGGGAACTGGGGAAATCCCAGTCTCCTTACTCGCCTCCGTTGATGCGGCCGCCAAAAAAAGCACTGACGAGGTTCATTTTAAACCTGGTCCCGCCCAGGCTGTTCCGTCGAACAAACGGTCACTCAGCGTTGCAGCGTCCGGACCATTGGCAACTAATCTCCAATGATCTTCCTGTGCACTGAATTGAACTAAGCGAGAGTGTGTCAAGCCTTTCATCAACACACTTGCCAGGACATTGATGCTCATTGCATCGCCAAGGCTTGCATCCACTGTGCGCGCAGGAAGCTTGTGTTCCTCAGCTGCCCTTTGCATGGCTCTGACAACCTTCTTTGGAACTCCTTGTAATGCACCAGCTTCCTCAAGCAGCAAGCGCCGCCTCAGTTTTGGGATATAATATCCTCCTTGTCCCAAGCGCGTGTGCGTCAAGCACGGTGCGCAGTTTGTCATCGCTGCTTGAAATTTTTCCGAAGATCCTACGTCGAGAATATATCCCTTACGCCACATCTTGCTACCTAAAAGTTCTTCGTACCTCGGTAGCTGCAACACCTCGGAGCCGGTCTTGTCCTTTTGGATGAAATGGTGTAAGTCAACCTTCTCTGACCGCTTCTCCGGTAACTTCACTGTTCCAGCGCAAATCTCCTTGGCCACCGCGAGGATGTAGACTCGGGGGCGCGATTGCGGTATGGCGAAGTCCTGGGTACTCAAGACTTGGTGGTCGAACACATAGTCGAGCTTGTTCAAAATTTTGAGAATGTAATTCCAAATTTGCGAATGCTTCTTCTCGAGTATGGCTTTGACTTGTTCCAACACGACCACCTTGGGTCTGCACAAAGCCACATATTCCAACCCTTTCAGGGTCAAAAGACCCCGCTGGTCAGAGACGCCTTGGCGTTTTCCTAACTTGGAGTACGACGGGCACGGATAGCCAGCGACGTAAACGTCGGCTGTTTTCATGCTTTCTTCTTTCCGTAGAAACATGTCAATGACCTGGTGGTCGTCGTAGTTCCAGCCACATTCTTGGGCGACAGCTTGGTGCAACAACACCTTCTGTCGGCTGACCTCTGACATCATGACGGGCTGCACTTGGCTTTGCAGCCCCAGAAGCCTGTATGCTATCAGGTCCGAGCCGTGGCCCGAACAGTCTGATGCAGTGTGAATCACTCTCTGTTTCTTTGAAGCCTTGTGCCTGCCCAATCGAGTGAGCCAGTTGGACGCCAAGGCGTTAACCCGCTCCAGTTGCGAGCGTAGCACCTCCTTGCTCACTACGACAACTTTCTTCTGAAGTGTCCGTTTTGGACCATGGCTCTTGAGAGGAGGCGCTTTGCCGGAAGACGGGCTCGACTTGCCTTTTGTCATTTTCTGTTTGAATTGAAAACTCTGCGGAAAAAGAAATGCAATGCAACAGCGCGAGGGATTACTGACTACTAACTGCTCTACTCATGAATAATGAAACTGTCAGCCATGGCTTAAAATCGACGATCGACAAAGTCTGTTTTGTCTGTCAATGAAATAAACCGACGGGAGAACACAGTCAAGCCAATCATTGAATCTGGAAATTCAATCTTCGTCAACAACTCAGTCAGAGCTGCAGCTTCCGTTTTCACTCCACGCTTTTCAGTGGTCTCTGTCGACACTGTTCCAAAACTCGTAGGCCTCATTTTGTCAGAGGCGAGACTGACTAATCTACGGCCTACGTCATCAACCTTCACTGCAAAACCGACAATTCCGTAGACGCGGTAATGAGCCCAAGAAGTCATTAAGCCGTAGCCGTAGCTTATTTTATTTTTCCTCGTGAGCTTCAACCGAAACTTCCTGCGAATCCGTTTCTGGCTTGGGCAGCAAAACGCTTTCAAACACCGCAGGTGCATGCGCGTGGGCTGCCTCTGCCACTCGCCAGGATTCATCAAGAGTAAAAGGTTCCTCCACCGCAGCCTTAGCTGCAGAGGCCGGACTTGTGTTAGCCCCCTCGGTTCCTGAATCGCCCGCAGGCTTCTTTCCTTGTGACCCCTCAGTGATGTCAGGCTGAAGCACCGGCTGGGGTATGTCTTGCGCGAGGCCACGGGCCAATCTGTTCATGAAGTCGAAGGAGCGATCCGTGATTCTCCTGAGCCCATTTTGAATTCGATCGACCTCCTGCTGCTCCAGGCCAAGTTCCTGGATAAATGTAGGGTTGTCTTGTAGTCGGTCAGTGAGGTCGTCGAACAACACGACCGCCTCCCTACTTTCACAGGCAAGGAAACACGCCTCTTGGTATGTTTGCACCCTATCCATGGCCGAGTTGTTCTGCGGTCTGTTGTGTACCGGGCTGAGAAGCAAAAGCTGCAGATGTGGATTGTTACAGCGGCAGGTAGATCAGGCAGGAAAGATGGCGGGAATCGTCCACAAATTGAGCGATTAAATCTATGTCCTCCATGCGGTATTATACAGTATCACCTATTATCATTATTATACCAACCCGGGTGTCATGCCCACATGGATCCAATGAAAAATATGATATCAGAGCCAGAAGAGAAAATCTATAGTATAGGCAAGATGGTGGCTGTGATGTAAAATGATTTCCGGAAAACTGTCCCCATGAAAAAAGGGATAGGTTTCCGATAATACCCTTTTTATTGTCTTATATAGTCCTCATGTCTGTCGTGTATGCTGTCAACATTGACGATCTCTGACAGGCAACTGTGACTGATTGACATGTTTGTTTCCATGTGTTTTGCGCCTTGGCCGACCACAATGGAACTCCCAAAGAATTTACTTCGTACCTAGTATTAAAACCGAAAACAAACATCCTCTTGGAATTTTTGATACGGGCATTCATTCAATGCATGGCCTCTGCTTCTCGGGTTTGCAATTTAGACCGACACTGCTCTGCATGCGTGCTTTCCACACATGTCGTTTTTTCCCGCAAGCATCCCCTGTTGCAGGATCGTTCTCAAGCAGCTGCTATCTTCACACGGGAGCTTGCCGTCTTGTTGAGACAAGTTGCCGTGAGCCAACGCAAAAATTCGGTGACAGTAAAACACTTCACCCTGGTTTTGTTGAAACCAGCTGGGATGGCCTCCCCCGCACCCCTGAGATGGAGACTGGGCTTTCGCCCGCGGCCTTTCAAATCTTCCGCCCTCACTGCCTGCCACCCACGGGCACATGCCTCACGTAGCAGTAGAGTCATTCCTGGCTCTTCGGCCTTGAAAGTGTCAGTCACGAAGATTGCAACTTGTATCTCCTGACCCGGGTGAAACGTCAACTTCACACCTCCTGCTCCAAGCAAAGCAGAAGCTGACATCAAGACGGATCCACTCAGAGCAGCCATGAAACGCACTTTTCTTTGCACCCTAACGAAGTTTGAGACCACGAAGAGCTTGGCTTGCCGCAGGTCCTGGACATGGGTAGTAAGATGCAGATGCTTGGCAGGAACAAAACAAAAACAAACGTGCAAATCAATGGCAGGCAATTCACCAACAATAGGATTCCCCCAGGCTCCTGAGTTCTCGTCGCAACCCCATGTGCCGTCAAAGATTGAGACACTGCTTGCGCCTTGCCGCCTTCCATCTTGGAGCAACACCACGCTGGGCCACTGAGACCTTGGCAGGCCCACTGATGCCTTTTCTTCGTGGAAGTCAATTTACCGGACACTTCGTATGCCTGTCTTTTTTTTTCCTGAGACCATCTCCTTGTCGGTTTGCTTTGGTCAGTCGCAAGGCCTCTTCCTGAACCTCTTGGGTGACCTCATCCGGCAACAAACAGCCATCTGCCAGAGCCTCAGCCTTTCGTTTCAAACCCTGTTTTCTCTGGAAATTTCTTTCCTTCTGGGAAGATTCTGTCAACAGCTCGGAAGGTTTCCGAGGAGGTGTTTCGCATTTTTGCACTGCTTCCAGCAATGCTTTCTTTCTTGTGCGGTTCCAGTTGGCAAAAGATCCGGTCTTCACTTTGCCTGTGACACCACAATCGAACCTTGGTTTTGTCCGCGGCCGGGACCTTCCACTGGACAGTAGGGAAGCGTAGATTCGTCGAGCGGCTTGAATCACTTCAGGTTGCACTGCTGGGCTCCTGGCCTGCCCATCGCCCATGACAATTGCAAGGCGACGGTCTGTGTCCACAGAAGCATTGGAAAGTTCCACAGGACTTCTCTTGAGCTTCGAGAATTGTTGCTCCACTCCACTTGTGGCTGCGGTCCAACATTGATAAGCTGCCATGACTTGTATCAGGGCCGTGGCCTCATACTTCCTTCCCTGGGCACCTTTCCGACTGCTTGTCCGTTGAAGGGCTTCCCTCCATGCTTCTCTGTTACTCAAACCTGCTTGCTTCTTCAAAGCTGCAGCAATGGGCAGCAAGCGGGCATACTCTTGCTTCAGTGCCTCAAAAGGTACCGAATACACTTGAGCCAGCCTCTCCAAGTTCCGTAAAACATCCGCACTGCAGTCACGGCCTCTTACGCAGTCAGACAAATGAAAAACTTGAAATGCCGCCGCCAAGTGCCAACTCGGAAACTCATGCGCGACGACTTCCTCCACGAGAGACACCCATTCCTGCAGCCGGCTGCAACGACGACAAGATATGATACAGTCAAATTTAATGGCAAACTGACACAGCCCCCCCCATGGAAAAGCTAGGCTAAGCACCGGGGTCCTCCATGACTGCAAAAGCCCTGTCCAAGTCTCGGTTCGAAACTTGGATGTCCAACGCAAACCCATCCTGAAGAATGGTCACGGGAATTCTTCTATCTAAGAATTCTTTCGTGAAAGTGGGTAGTGTCAACACCTTCCGGTCAACGAAGAGAGACCTTGCCGAGAGGACAAAATGGCTGGCTCGTAAATTCAAATCAGCAACATCAATGTCTTCACGGTCGCATTCCCTTGTGTAGTCGTTGCTGATAGCTGCAGCGTCGGTAATCATTGCAAGCAAAGCTGCTTTGAACGAACTGAAATTTTGGCAAAGCTTGGTTGCCCAAGTTGCCTCAGCACCTCGCATGGCTTGGACCCTGCCGCACACATTGAAAGCTGCTTGCAAATTCCGAATTATCCGGCTGAGAGGATTCAAGTATGACGAGAACCTGTGCTTCGCCGCAGACATGGAGGTGCAAAGGTTTCCAGTCAAGTCAGAGTCCTCTTTGCATTGGACGGCCTTGGCCCACCATTGGCTGAGGATGTGGCTGTGGTGCACCTTCTGAGCGAAGCTTTCGGACCCATGGATCCATTCGTTTGTCAAACTTTTGACAGGTTCCAATGCAAGGAATGGTCTCTTCAAGAGACGGGTCGATGCATGCGCCGCATCTCTGCCGACGATCTTGCAATTTGTAAATTTGGATTGAAAGTCGGTCGCGGCCCTACGGCGCCCTCTCTCTAAGTCACCTGCTAAAAGTTCGGATGCAGCAGCGTCACTGGCCACCATGGTGACCCTGTCCTGAATCTTCCGTAGAAGTTCAGAGTCGACCGGCTGCTCGCTTTCCTTGGCTTGTCTGGGAGGCTGCCGCATCGGTTGGCAGAAGTTCTGCATGATTTCAGCAGTTGCTTCAGCTATGGACTCAGCAGAACCTGTCACAGGCTGCAAGCCAAGCGCGCCACTGATGGTGGTTAGGTCCGGTAGAACAGCGCGGAAGCGCACAAGAAGATTTCCTTTGCGTTCGTCTCTCATCAATGAGATGCAGCGAGACTCTGCCAGCAAAGTCCTGTTGCGAGCACAAACTGCTTCCGAGAGGGCATACCGCACTTGAGTTTTTTTATCGGACGATCCGCCACCTTGTCTCGCAGATTGTCCTTGCGTCATACCCTGCAAACTTGACTTAAAAGCCTCGTCGCTAGGGGCTCCGCAAAGATCATCTTGGCTTGCTGTCATGTGTCCCTTGGACTTCTCATGCCTCTCCAAGTTGTGTTTCTTCAACACGGAAGTCGGAGTTTGTTCAAAGTTGGCCCATGGGCCCTCCAGACCGGCTTTCGCGCATAAGCTGCAGCCGAGCTTGGATTCTCCATCGACCAGAAGCACTCTCAGCCATGGTTTTTTGTAAAGTGACCATGACTGCTGCACGGCGCACAAGCTGCACTTGTGCACTCCTCGCTTGCAAGTCTGAGTGTGTTCAGTGACCAACTTACCTGGAACCAAGTGCTTCAACTTGTCGCGAGAATCTCCCATGGCGCGAAGAAGGAAACCCCTGGAGAGCGAAGAACTTATTGTATTCATTGTATTGATAGAATCTCATGATAGTCATAGTACTTTAAGGCTTACTTAAGATGCATTCAATGTGATTGACAGTATTGGAGCTTTGAATTGAAAGATGCGGAAATCTTCAAATTTTTGATCATACCTTAGATGTTTTAAGGTGCGTGTTCAAAACCCTGCAGCCGCTGACGGCAACACACAGAAAGAGTCACAATTCAATGCAATGCTTTCGCCCCTCGAAATGAAGAAATCAAGCAACTACGACAGTAGTGGCTGGCAGTAGTGGCTGGCGGCGCGACATCGACTCTTCTTATTTTCTGAATAATAATAAGTCAAGCAGCACCCGCGGCAGCAGCAATTGCTCAGATGATGTGAGCTGACTTGACACACACATGTCCGTAGACAGTGACATTTTAAATTGTCCGCAGACACTCCCCACGGCATGTGTCCGTAGAGTCCGTAGACTAAGATATTTTCCTGTCCGTAGACCAGAACCAATGATGTGTCCGTAGACCAAGTCAGTCCGTAGACTATGATTTTCCTGTCCTTAGACCAGAACCAATGATATGTCCGTAGACCCGCAAGTCAGTCCGTAGACTATGACTTTCCTCTCCATTTACTAGGGAGGCCCTTTTGAGCGAAGCCGGTTTTGAGAATGCTTTCCGGACCCAGAATTGGGCCCGTCGGAGGAAGCTGTTTTGTAGATGATTTTGTTTCTTGTTGGGGCAAGCGGGGTGCATATCGGTTGCTGCTTGAACCCAGTTGAAGGTAGCTTTTTATTATTTCGTTTCGTCTGGTGGCTTGATTGTTTGCTGCTAAAAGAAGGCGCATCAGCCTTTTGCAGCCTTATAGGTGATTGCTTGAAGTGTTTCTTGCTGTTGCGGAGTTTGTGGGTTTTCGCGCAGGTGGCCGGCTTCCATTTGAATGATTGTATTGAATACTTTACTGCCCTTTGTGGGCCCCCTTGCCCCTCTAGACTCCTACCGAAGTTTTCAGCCCAGAAAGAACATGAATTATGATCTTTTCAGTCAATCCCGTTATTAATTAATAGTATTAATTTAAAACGGGATGGAGTAAGAATCTGCTTAGGGAAAGATGTGGGAAGGTGAAGTATTGAAGGCTCTCTTACTCCGCCATCGTTTCGATATCGTGTCAATTACATTGGGTAATTGAATTAAAACATACCACGGAGTAGCGGAGTAGGCGGAGTAGCGACGGATTGGTGAATGTTGCCTGGGTGGTGCTGCATTGCAATCGCCGCATTGGAGCTAGGGAACGGAGACAGCTGATACCACATGTGCGCTTTCAGGTTCCATTTCTGGGGCCGGAAAGTCAATTGAAATCAGGCTTCGCATGTGCGGGCCTCCTCTGTTCCAACTCTATATGCTTGTTGCTTAACTAAACGCAGTTGTCATTTTTGTTCGTTGCACGGGTCGGCCTTTGCTGTTGATTTTGCGATTTTGCGGTCTCATTTTTGGTACCGCCAGACGGTCCCAAAAATGGGACCGTGAAAGTGCTTTTCTTTTGTTCTTTTACTAAGCAGTGCATGCGGTCCCAAAAATGGGACCGCCAGGCGGTCCCATTTTTGGGACCGTGTTTAAGTTCATTTTTTGAAGTTTTTTGTATCAAGGTTGCAGAAGCGCAACGTTTTGGTTTCAATGAAGCTTTGTGGCTTATGGCGGCCGGAAGGGCAACTAGGGAGGCCCTTTTGAGCGAAGCCGGTTTTGAGAATGTTTTCCGGACCCAGAATTGGGCCCGTCGGAGGAAGCTGTTTTGTAGATGATTTTGTTTCTTGTTGGGGCAAGCGGGGTGCATATCGGTTGCTGCTTGAACCCAGTTGAAGGTAGCTTTTTATTATTTCGTTTCGTCTGGTGGCTTGATTGTTTGCTGCTAAAAGAAGGCGCATCAGCCTTTTGCAGCCTTATAGGTGATTGCTTGAAGTGTTTCTTGCTGTTGCGGAGTTTGTGGGTTTTCGCGCAGGTGGCCGGCTTCCATTTGAATGATTGTATTGAATACTTTACTGCCCTTTGTGGGCCCCCCTTGCCCCTCTAGACTCCTACCGAAGTTTTCAGCCCAGAAAGAACATGAATTATGATCTTTTCAGTCAATCCCGTTATTAATTAATAGTATTAATTTAAAACGGGATGGAGTAAGAATCTGCTTAGGGAAAGATGTGGGAAGGTGAAGTATTGAAGGCTCTCTTACTCCGCCATCGTTTCGATATCGTGTCAATTACATTGGGTAATTGAATTAAGACATACCACGGAGTAGCGGAGTAGCCGGAGTAGCGACGGATTGGTGAATGTTGCCTGGGTGGTGCTGCATTGCAATCGCCGCATTGGAGCTAGGGAACGGAGACAGCTGATGCCACATGTGCGCTTTCAGGTTCCATTTCTGGGGCCGGAAAGTCAATTGAAATCAGGCTTCGCATGTGCGGGCCTCCTCTGTCAGACGAAGTGCAGATGTGTTACTTTGTTCGTGGACAATCATAAAGATTCATTCAATGCGGTCCGTGGACTCGAGGATCAAAAAAATGATCAGACCTAGTCCGCAGACAACTCCGTATTTAAGATGTCCTTCAATATTATTCCTCGCGGGTGAAAGACAAAACAGCATTTCCATGGCAAGGTAAACAGACTGCAGATGCGATGGCAAAGCGATTTTGAGCAAAAAATAACTCTGCTAGGGCGCTCGGCTGTGGAAGTTGACCAAGGGCTTACAATAACAATTTTACAAGTGGATTTATCACGACTAAGCTCACATATAATTTACACACCATTAACAAAATATATATATATATAATCATGGAACTTGAAACTTATTATATACAACACCTGTATGGGGTATCCAACCTTACTATGTTTTCCCTTTGTAGGCATTCTATGGATATCAACTGGAACGCTGGGCAACACTGTTCCCCTGATCACTTACATTGAAATAATGACGAGGTGGATGCTTTGAGACAACCATAGGAACAAGTGGACCCATGCCAACCAGATCTGTTCACGCATGGAGTGAATGACTCAGTGGTCAGGTGGAATGTTTTATTATAGATAACCAAAACCAAATAAAATTCGTCACACTGTCAAGAGCTTAATACCTTGGTATTAGTGGTGGTGGAATAGTTTCAGTGACAGACTGGATGCATACTTGAACACATCACACACACTTCACTTAGCAACAAAAAAGACACCAAGAGCAACCAAACTACTGCTAAACAACGCTAAGTTTCGTGTGAAAGAGTTCAATTTGCTCCCTCCGTTGGGGCTTCTCCAAGTGCGAAAAGCAGCCTGCTCCACTCCTCCGTACTTGCAGAGATAAGATATTCTCCTGATGGGTCCAGTGTATGGGATTGTATGAGTCGAGTCCCAAGTTGCCTGGGCACTCGTCGCATAGACGATGACTGCGTATACCACATTGGTGACCATACGACAGGGGTGGCAACTTTGTACGCAACAAAGGACTCAGAGTCTGCAATAGCTCGAACTTGGTGATTGTCAACCACATGTATGGCGATCCATTGTGGGATGGTACCACTAACATCTCGTGCTAATACACCTATAATACTTAAGCCGCCTGTGCCATCAAGGCCACCAAGTAAATGAATGACAGTGCTAGCGGGCGAGGCATTGTGCATTATATAGTGTTGTCCATCATCAATTCGAGCAAGTATCGGGTAAGTCGCAAATGTATGATATGAAACTTGCACCACATCAGCAAAAATCTTTAGCATGTTGGCATGGAGTCAAAGGCGACCGTTCCAAAGCGAAACGGTTGATCAGGCTCATGAGAAAGCAACAGGAACAACAGGCAAGGTCGCTGCACCCCAACATAGATAAGGGGAGGTTGCATAGTTTTCGGTGCCCAAATGATAAAACCGTAGGGAAATTCGTGCTTTACACTAAGCGTTGAAATCTGGAACACAACAAAAAGTTGTTTGATAGCAGTAAGTTGTTCAGCATCAGTATATTCTTTCAACAGTCCAATATGCTTAGCTTTAATCTCTTGAGCTTCCGAGTGAAATCCAACACCATTTTTAACAGCCAAGTTCATCATGTATGCTGATAGGGGACATTCTCCTTTGTGCTTGACGACTCTCGCACCCAATCAATCCTAGTTTGGGTCATGATGTTGCTCAACTCTTTATCACCAAATGGCGGGTCGGTTTCACTGTGGGTTCCGTGGCACTTTGGAGGTTTGGATCCTTGTAGAAACGCAAAGACCGTCGGCTGGTGCACTACTGGGGGGCGAGCTGATTCGACACTATCATTACGAGAGTAGTGCCGCCATTTCGCTTCAAAATCCACTTTGTCAGCTCTGAGTTGAACTCCTCGAGCGGCTGCTTGTTCCAATACCAGCTTCAGGTCTCGGTATTTTGAATAAACTTCTTTACAACAGGTAGGTCTTTACAACACGGCTGCGCATCATTGTTTCCTTCAACCCATTATTGTAATTGATCATCGGTACCGAGGGCCGCACTGATGAGAGATGGGTGAAAACTATTCCCACAAAAGTCTCGAATCACTTTATCCGTGAGAAGAGTAGGCCCATGTCTTTCTGTCGTTAGGATATTCTCAAGTCGTGCTAGTTTGCGTACTTCTTGGACCGTCAGAATTCTCATTGGCAGTACAATATTTGGGTTATGAAAGATAGGCGCTAGTTGTTCGATGAGTTCATCTTTTTTGGATGTAGTCGCTCTGTCTGTTTGAAGAGTGATAAGGAAACTTTTCCAAATAGGGAGAAAGTGAGCAGGAATGAAGCTTGCCCATGGCAGGTTTGGGACTCTGTCTCTCTCAGCAATTTGGGTTAATAGCATGAAAGATTTCCTCCCTCCAAAAAAGGAATAATCCCATAGAAGTGCACTGGGTTGGTAGCCTGTCCAGGAGAGCTTCAAGATTCCGCTGCTTGACAGTCCTCTTGTTCGGAGTAATGGAGCTAATGGTAAGTTTTCGCCTTTCAGAGTCACTAATGGG